CCACAATCTGTTATTTTTCGTTCTCCCTCTTTCGTTCCCCCCTTGCTACCCCCTTGCCTTTACTGGGCAAGTGTTGTGTATGCCTGTCCTATGGCTGTTTGGCCTGCAGCCTTAGCACCGAGAAACATCGCATTGTGCATTGTGCTTGTTAGTTCAGCTCTTTCTTCCCGGAGCGAGCTCTGGCACTCGCTAATCCACTCGTGCCAGTCATGTACTGCCACCAATCAATCCCCAGCACTGGGCCCATGCAGCGTCTGCAAGCATGGGTGTGGTAAAGCAGGGGATTGGGCAGCATGCTGCGCGGGTCATCCAAAGCGTTGGATGTAGCGGGCTGATAGGAGCGCCTGTTTCAGGTTTGGGCTGTTGGATTCCCGGCGCCGAGCCTCTAGGACCGGTGCCCCCTCTAGATGGAGTTAGTGTCGCCTCCTCTAAGTCCAAGCAGGAAGAGGAGGCCACGTTGGAGCAGGGGTCTGAATTCATCAGGCGGATCGTAACTGAAGGGTGTATGGAGGAGGGTAAGGTTCAGGGTCAGCAGCAAGGTAAGCATAGCTCCCTCCGTTCCACTGCCGGGTCTATTAGGCCCAGCCCGCTTGGTGCCAGATGCGGGTCTGTTGGGATGTGCAGCGCGGGTGGATGATCTTCGTGGCATCACCATGAACGTGGCATGAATGTGCAAAGAAGGCCTTCTCCCCATGCAGACCACTCTTCCATCTGTGGCACTTCCAGGGGGCTTGGCGGGCGAGGAATGAAGCTCGCTGACTGATGCATCGGGTGAGGAGGAGCCAGAGCTAGTATAGGATGTCTGCAAAGGGATCCAGTAGCACAAAGCAATCTCTGTGGGACTTGGTCCCGTCCAGTCCACTCACTGGCGGGCTCTCAAACTGCAGCGCCATGTTGCAACTAGTGGTGAGGTAGCTCACCCCCTGCCCACGGACCAGCGCTGGCGAAATTGATGAAGCAATTTTGCAGCCTGGTATGTGAATGACGGGTTCTCGTTAATTTGTGCTGTGTCCGTCAGGAGTTTGAGGAAAGACGGAAGTTCCTCGCAAGGCATCCACATGTCTCCACCGCGAAGGAGAAGAAGCCGACATACTCCGCCCGATTGCGGCAGTGGTCGGTTTTCTTGGCTGCCATCTCACGTTCAGCCCAGCCTCTGCCATTTCTGGTGCAAGGGTTCTTTGAGCTGATCCCGTCGGTGATAATGACCTCACAGGTCCAAACGGCTTCCTTGGTGCGGTCTCAGGTAGCAAGGCCCGCCGTCGTGCAGTCGTCGATGGGGCAAAACGCCGATGGCTCCTAATGGACAGTGAACACCGCGCCCTCAGCCATCTGAATGCTTGCATCTCGTAGGCTGTTGTGAGTATGGCTGTGTTGAAGATGGCCGTTCAGTCCATGCAGTCACACCTCCGTGGCACTGAGGAAAGGAGCCCCAGCCAGAGTTGCATCACCATTGCGATATTCTCCGGGTCACTCTCTTCTCTCTCAACTCTCCCTGTTTCAGTCCTCCTCCTTCGTGGTTCTACCTGTCTCCACCAAGTGGTTCTGCCCATGCCTCTTTCCATTATCCATGGCCCTTTTGCGCCCTATTCCTTTCCTGCCCTTCTCCCTTTTTTCCAATTATTGCACCTCCCGTTCTTCAGGCGTGTTCCGTGAAACACCAATTTATTTATTGGATTTGAAGGAGTCGCCTCCCCTTCCTATCCAGAGCTCTTGGCTACAACGCATTTAGTGGCCCCATCCCACCTCACCTGGCACTGCCCCAACTGTCTACCCTGTAAGCCCTACTCCCGTCTCTCCTTGCACTCATTATCTGCACTCATTGCTCTCTGCCGTCATTTCTCTGCCTGGTTCCATATCCTCATTTCTAACTCCATCCCCATATCTGTACCCTTGCGGGCGGGATTCCCACCACCTTCACCCGCCTCACTGCCATGAATATGCTGTACGGCGATTCTGTATGCCTCACCGCCATGGGCTTTAATTGCTCATTGCTGTCACTTCGCCAATCGCTAATTGCTCATTGCTGTATACCTTTGCTCCTCGCCAGCATCCCACGTGCCAGCATCCCACGTGCCTGCATCCCACGTGCCAGCATCCCACGTGCCTGCATCCCACGTGCTTGCATCCCATGTGCCTGCATCCCACGTGCCTGCATCCCATGTGCCTGCATGCCATGTGCCTGCATCCCACGTGCCTGCATCCCAGGGACGCGGCCAACAACAGTCTGAGCGCAGGGCTGGACGTGGTGGCTCAGATGACATGGCTCACTGACATGTGAGCGCCTAGCCTTCTCCCTGCCCCACCTTCCTCATTGTTGCCCCCTTCTTGCTGGTTCTCCTCATCCCTCCTTGCTCGGTCTTCCCTTCCCTCCCTCAGCGTCTGCTCCCTGCAAGTGGCAACACCTGACCCCCTCTCTCAAATGTGTGCCCTGCAGAAGCCTCCACACCAACAACTTCTCCGGGGTGCTTCCAGCAGCCCTCTCTGCCATCACAGGGCTCAAGTTCATGTCAGTCGACTCCATCCACCCCTCACTCCCTCACCCGCCCACTCACTCACTCAATCACTCACCAGCTCACTCACTTACGCACTCAATCACCCATTCACTCACTCACCTCCTCCTCCATGCAGCAACAACTGTGTCTCGCGGCGCCTACCCACGCGCTTGTTGTGGGCCTCATAAGTTCGTGAAGCATGCGTTTGAGAATTATCCTGGCCGATTCATGAGGGCTTGCGGACGTGTTTCTTGTATGCCCAAATGAGGTTGTGTGTGCCTTTTTGCGTTTTTTCTCCGTCTTGTGCTATTCCCACCACATGTGCCATGGGCGTGTGTCAGAACCATCGCTAACAACCACTTCACGGGAGAATATCCCCAGTCTCTTCTGCACATCCACCACCTTGGATATCTGTAAGACACGGTGTTACAGTTGTGGACATAGGTGGGTTGCAGTGGAAGTACCATGTAGAATCGTTTTTTATTTGAAAAAACCCATGGCACTGGCATTGACAATGGCAATGGAGATGGCAGGGATTTGAGCAACAACAGCTTCTCTGGATCCATTCCCCTGCAATTGACCGAGCTACTGGAGCTGGTAACCATGTGCGTGGTGCCCCAAAGATATCACTTGTCCCGTCGACCTGGTCTTACTTGATAGATCGTACACCATTCGATTCTTGACGACGGGGTTCCCATGCTCTTTCGTCAACCGATAACCATAGCCAAGCTTGTTCCTCGTTCACGCCCAGCCTATATCAGCACTTGTTTGTTCACGCATTAGTATATTTCACTTTGCGTATTCACTCCAATCCAATGGTGCATGAGTGTCTTCCCGTGGTCTTAAGCGCTGCACTCTGTTTGTCATCGCTTCTGAGTGACTCGACCAGCGATCTGAATGACAACAACTTCCATGGATCAATCCCATCTGGCCTCTTCCACCTCCCCATACTTGACACTCTGTGAGTACTTCCATGGCGATTTTGCATGGCCCTGCCATAATACAGATCTCTTTACAAAACAGCCTAATGCGATGTTTGTTAATCAACTGAATAAATTAATCGAGGTTTGGAACAGTTGTGTTATTCCAATAAGTCTTTCTGCTGCCAGATACAGAAGCCTGATCCCGATAGAGGTCCAACTTGTGTGCCTGCTACTCGTTTCCTCTGACACCTCCTTGCACCTCGTCATTCTTCACCTTTGCATTCCCCTTATCAGCTTCCAGTGTGGCAGTGACTTACAGTGCATGCATGCAACCACCACTTCCCTCTGTCCCCCCTCCTGCCCAATGTAGGGAAGTGGCAAACAACTTTCTTTCTGGAAACCTTCCAGTGGCGCTTAAAGCCTCCTCCACACTTTTCACACTGTAAGTAGCGCCACCACTGGCTGTGCTGCCTCCACTCGCTGTGCTGCCTCCACTCGCTGTGCTTCCACCACTCGCCGTGCAGCCACCGCTGTTGCTCTCCGTGCTCATCGTCCCTGGAGTGGAGTTTGCCTACCTTTCCGTTGCACTGTGTGCAGTAGCCTTGCAGGAAACGGCTTTACAGGCTCCTTGCCAGACTTCTCGCTGTGGAAGGGCAGCTTTCAAACGCTGTAAGCTTCTTCCTCTCCCTCTCCCTTCCTCAACCACCCCTTCCTCTTCCCACTCTTCCTATTTCCTTCCACAATCCCCTCTCAGTTCTTTCTTGGCAAACCTGATTTCCTCCTCGGTGGCCATCTTTCTGATCAGTGGCACATGTCTTGCCTGTATCACCTCTCTTGGGCTTGTGGGTACCATGTCCCATGAGTGCTGTTCGCTCATGCAGGGCGCTGAGCAACAACAATTTCACAGGGCCCATTCCGGAGTCCATCTCCACGCTCTCCACTGTGCAAGCCATGTGAGCCTCTCATCTACTGTTGCGCCCTCACCACATGCCCCTCACCACATGCCCCTCAGCTAAGTTGCAATATACGCTCAGACCTGTTTGCGTATAGCGGATATCCGCTTGCGTATACACGCAACACGCTATACGCAAGCGAATCCGCTATACGCTCGGCAAATTTGTTTTGGGGCAGCCCGGGCGGGAAAAGAATTTAACATACGGAAAGATGCGGAATTTCACGAAGTGCATTTTGCCGAAGGCGAATTGCACGTACGTGACTTGTCCAATCGTGGACGTGGCTTTTTGCAAAAGGCGACTTGCACGTACGTGACTTGTCCAATCGTGGACGTGGGTTCAGCCCATGTAGTCGAGATTGGTTGTGTCAATTTGTCAAGTCGCGTTTTCACGTACACTCTTTGTGCACTCTGTTTGTTACCGCATTGAATCCCCCCCCATCTACTCACTCCAACCACCTGTCCCAATGTTCCCTTCTCTCGTTGTGCTACTTATAGGGTTGCAAGCAACTACGCAATTTATCAGTTACCGTCTCTTTCGTAATGTCTAGCCCGCCATGCACACCGCCGTCCGTTCAGACAGTGCAGAGTTCTCGGATTGTTCGACCTGAGGGTAGGGATTACCTTCCCGACATGCCGGAACACGTAGTCTTCAAACATTTCAGCCTCATTGTGCGGGAAGAAGGCAAAGCACAGCAGTACGAGTATAAGTACTGCTTCAATGTTTTCACCGGTGCAGCCATTCATTGCGCGCAGCACCTGAGCTCGTGGAAGGGAATGAAGCGTCGCAAGGTGGCGCTTTTCAAGGAGGCATCGCAAGACGTACGCAACGAGATGCGCACCAAATACGAGAAGATGGCTGCCGCGGTAGAAGAAAAGCGCCGAGCAACATCTGCTGCTGTTGCGGCAGTCCAGGCTGGCGGCGGGAAGCAACGCATCACCGACTACTTGGAGGGAGATGCCGCTGCGGCTAAACGTGAAGCTCACGAGGGCCTTGCGCTGATGTTTGCGGCCTGCAGAATCCCGGAGGTCACCATGGACCACCCGCTGTTCATCAACGCCATGCTGCTCGTCAACTGCGCCGGCCACGGCTACGTCCCCCCCAGGAGGAGTTTCATTGGCGGGGCTGGGCTGGTCGCTGTCCGCAAAGGGATTGAGCAGGGGCTGGTGGGGATTAAATCGAGCTGGAAGAAGACCGGGGTAACAATTGCGTCCGACATGATGACGGACAAATGTGGGAGGGCGCAAGCGAACGTGCTTCTGATTAACGACTCCGGCGCCGTCTTCAAGGAGGCGATCGACTGCGGTATGGAGCGGAAGACGGGGGGATACATAGCGGGGATTCTGCAGCCGGTTGTGGAGGAGGTTGGACCAGAGAATGTTGTCGCGTTTTGTATGGATGGGGGGTCGAACTATGCCGCGGCTGTCCAGGAGCTTATTGCCAAGTGGCCCCACATTCAGCAGGTCCCTTGTGCTACGCATGTGATGGATCTCCTGCTGGAGGATGTGGGAAAGATGGGGTGGGCAAAAGGGGTGGTGGATCAGACTGGGGAGATGATTTCTTTCGCGCGCAACCATCATTGGACGCGCGCTTACCTGAGGACCAAGGAGTTGGTTGAGGGGAGGGTGCTGCAGCCGCTGAAGCCGGCGGGAACACGTTTCGGGACACAGTACATTGCTGTGTCCCGCCTTTGTGAGTTGCGTAGCACCCTGAACGCGATGGTGCTTTCCGACAAGTGGAAGGAGTGGGCCGTGGGGTCGCGGAAGGATGCTGCCGAGGCATTTTCTGGGCGGGTCCTTGATGCAGCATGGTGGCACACGGCATAATTCTTCTGCAAGCTGATGCAACTGCCCTACAAGGCGATGCGGCAGACTGACGCAGATGCCACTGGGATGATGGGCCGCTTCTATGATGTAATGCTGCAGCTTACGGAGGATGTCAACAACGTCCTGGACGAGGATGAGCAGCAGCTGAGTAGCACGGAGAAGGAGAAGATCCGCAGCATCATCAAGGACCGTTGGGATAACAACCTCGCCTGCGGCATGCACGTTGCTGGCCGAATCCTCAACCCCGCGAACCAGGAGGAGGATATCTTTGGCAGCGACGTCAAATGCACCCGGGTTTTCAAGGCGTTAATCAACCAGCACGTGGAGTTCCTCATCGGCCACGACGGGAAGGGGAGGGATGAGGGTCCAGATTACTTGCTTGCCTTGGGTGACGGGCTGAGGGCTTTCTTGGACCTGAAAGGCAGTTTTGGGATGCCGGAGGCGCTTGCACAGAGGGAATTGGTGAAGGCGGGTAAGTACAGCATGGTGAAGTGGTGGCAGTGGAACGGCACAGATGCACCTCACCTGATGCACTTCGCCGTGAGGATGCTATCTCAGCCTGTATCGGCATCCCCTTGTGAGCGTGGGTGGGGAACTTGGGATGCAGTCCACACAGCCCGCCGGAACCGCCTCGGATCTAAGAAGTGCCAGGACCTGGTTTTTGTTGCGCACAACTGGAATGTTGTGCGCAACTGGCACTCGCGCGCAGATGTGATGCCGAACGTTGTGCCAGGGATTGGGGACGAGCCTCCTATCCCCGAGGGGTACAACGGGTTGGATGAGACGGAGGTGGAGGAGGAGGAAGGCGAGGATGACGTCCTGGAGGACGAGTATGCTTAGGTCTAGGGTGGTAGGAGAGTATTAGTGACATGTGTGTGTGTATGGTGTCGTAATCTTATTATGGGAAAAAAAAAACTGTGCTGCAAAACCCCCAAAATGCCCCACCCCTCCTCCCCCCCAAACATCCCCAAGTGGTTTTTTTTGCCCTGCCTGGGAAAGTTTTTTCCCTGCCCGGAAAAGCGTATTCCAAAGTCGACCCCCAAGCGGATAGCGTGTATACGCTAGCGTATATACGATAAGCGTATATACGCTATAAGCGTGAATTGCAACTTAGCCCCTCAGCACATGTCCCTCACCATATGCCCATCACCACATGCCTCTCAGCACGTGCCCCTCATCAGATTCCTTCACCACATTCCAATCACCACATGTCCCTCACCACATGCCCCTCACCGCATGCACCTCACCGCATGCCCCTTACCACATGCCCCTCAACACATGTTCCTCACCACATGCCCTATGCCCCTCTCACCACATGCCCTCACCACATGCGCCTCTCACCACATGCCTTATGCCCCTCTCACCACATGCCCTCACCACATGCGCCTCTCACCTTATGCCCCTCCGACCATATGCACCTCGCGATATTCCCACCGGCATCTGCATAGTGCTGCATGGCCAGGCTCGCACCTAGCCGCAGCCGCTGCCTCATGTGCTCTGTGCTAACCATACCCCACCATGTGCTCTGTTCTTGCCATGCCTCATACGCTCTGCCCTTGCCATGCCTCTGCAGCATCCTTGACAACAACCAACTGACGGGAACCATTCCAGTTGCCATCCTCAACATGACGAACCTACAATCCCTGTGAGTCTTGAGTGAGCATGTAGTGCTGGATTGAGGGTTTTGGGACAAACCTTTGCACCTCAATTCCCTACTGTGACCATGCGGTTTTCCCATGTCAACTTGTGTTGCTCTCCCATATGCTGCTCTTGCTCACAGCGGTCCCTCACGTCCATACTGTCAAAACTTTGGCTTAGAACTGATACATTAGTAGTGAGCTCAAAGCTCTTTAAGTACATCGGAAATGAGCAAGGTAAGGATAAGGAGGGAATCAGGGGGCAATCCTAGGGAATCAAGGGTAATCCCAAGGCAATCTCCAATTGGTGGGTTGGAGATTGCTTGGAGATTACATTTGGGTTTGGTTGGGATGTGGGTGTACACCCAACCAAACACAAAGTGCAAACTACACTAAACTAGGATATAAAAGTACAAGTACAAAATGTGAGATTGAGGGCTAACACCAACACATACTCCCCTCCATAGTCCCTTACATACTTTCCTCCATACTCCCCTCCATGCACCCCTCCATACTCTCCATGCTCCCCCCCATGCTCCCCCCCATGCTCCCCCCCATGCTCCCCCCCATACTCCCCCCCATGCTCCCCTCCATGCTCTCTAGCTACCTGGCCAACAACCGTCTGAGTGGCAGTCTGCCGTCTGCCATCAGTCGCTTGCGGAAGCTACAACAGATGTGAGTGCCTTCCCTGCCTGCCCTCCTTGCCTTCCCTCCCTGCCTCGCCTCCTTGCCTGCCCTCCCTGCCTGCCCTCTCAAGCAGACAACATGAGCGTGTTGCGCAGCAGGGGAGGCAAGGGGATGTGCATGGCAGAGTAGTGGGGTATGGAGGCAAGGGGATTTGCACGTTGGCGAGGTGAGGCATGGAGGCAAGGGCGTGGGGCAGCATGGTGGCCAGCTAGTGCAGGCTTGCTGCATTGATGTAACCGCTGTTTTTTTCGGTGCGGGTTCTCTTGTATTGCCAGGATCATTTATTTGGAGAGCTTGCGACGAGCTCATTTCTCAACTAAGCGCAAATTCGCTATATAAAATTGCGCGCCGTAGACATACAAAATAAATTACTTTAAAAGATTGTCTCTATAGTGGGATGGACTTAAACACGTCCAGCATTCACTAGAATAGAGGAGGATGCACAACCATAAATACATAGAAAGTTTGAATTGGGGACTCAAGAGCTAGGAAAAGATAATAGGACCCTTTCTTGTTGCAATGATGCAACTCTGATCATAAGGTCCTTGAAGTGTCACATGCAAAAACCAGCTGCTTGGGTGTTGCAACATTTGCAACATATGCTAAAAAGTTATAGCCACCCGAATCTAAATGTGAAGAACATTCCTAACCACTCAACCAAATATCACTTTATAACTGTGTCTCAATGATTTCGCAATCTAGAAATAAGATATATCTTGAAAATTTTGTAGCTTGGTTGCGATAAGGTGATCCTGGTATCGTTCGAAAGTTCCTCCTGCATGATCAAGCATTGAAACTTGGAGAAATAACACAGAGATTATACAATCCAACAAACATGTATAATGGTATATGCTCATGCAAATAATGCACGCATAAACGGCATGAGCACTCGGCAGGATGTTACAATGACATGCACTCAAACTGACAGGCAACATCTCGTTTTGAGGCTCCCAAGGTTATTGATTGTCCTCCTCATCCTACACGCGTGCCAAGCTGTCTGCCCTGCTGAACTTACCCGTGTTGTGTGCCTTCTGCCGTGCCCGAGCTCTCATGCCCCTTCTTCTGCCCCTGCTTCTGCCCCCCACAGCTGGCTGGACAACAACAACATTGATGGCCCTCTGCCATCCGCCATCTGCTCGCTGCCCTGGCTGTGGCGCATGTGAGTGACTGGCATATGCTTCTTGGAGTGACACGAGGATGTTCAGGCATTGGACCATCCACGAGGATCGTAGCATTTGGATGGATGCAAACTGAGCAGTACAAAAGCATGGTGGATAGGGTGTGGAGGGTGTAGAGGGTGGGGAGGTTGTAGAGGGTGTGGAGGGTGGGGATGGTGGGGAAGGTGTAAAGGGTGGGGAGGGTGAGGAGGGTGAGGAGGGTGAGGAGGGTGAGGAGGGTGTGCTGGAATTGTGGTCAAGTGCAAGCGAGCCCGAACCCCACCAGAAGCAGCTGTTGTGAGCAGCAGCTCTAATGAAAGAGGAGAAGCTCGGGAAAGGCAAAACTTGGTATTGTTGGCAAGAGTGAGAGCCTTGCAAGCGATGCAATTCCTGCTCGAACACCCATGGATGAGAGGTGGCACGCGCACCCAGCAAGACTTTTACAGAAGGCAAATAGACAGTTAGCCGCAAACACGCAGATGCTCGTCTGAGTTGCTTGGCGCCAACAAACCCAACATCATGACATACCCAAGCAAGCAGCATGCCCATCCATCCATCAAGGTGTATTTTGTATCTACTTATCTTGCGTGCCTTCCTATCTTAGCTTACCTTGTCTTCTCGCCTTGTTTCTCTTTCGTTCCGTGTCCTCGTGTGCTGTGACTCATGCTGGTGCATGCATGGCATGGCATGGCATGGCATGGCATGGCATCATGGCATGGGTTGTGCTGGCAGCATGGTGAGCAACAACCATCTCTACGGGCCTCTGCCAGACTGCCTCTTTGACAAATGCATCAACCAAATGTGAGCCCACTTTGTAATTTTGCTTCATCCATCCGTACTGTCAGAACTTAAGCTTAGAATTCATAGATTAGTAATGAGCTTGAAGCTCTTTAAGTACATCCAAGATGAGCAGGGAAAGGATGGGAAAGTGAATCGGGTATAATTTCTAGGGATTGGGGGTAATCCCAAGGCAATCTCCAATTGGTGGGTTGGAGATTGCTTGGAGATCACATTTGGGTTTGGTTGGGATGTGGGTGTACACCCAACCAAACACAAAGTGCAATCTACACTAACCTAGGATATAAAAAGTACAAAATACAAAGTGTGAGATTGAGGGCTAACATTAACACCTACTACCAAGGCGTGTTGCTCACTGCTGTCGGTGCGGTCAGGTGCAAAGGGTGGTGAGAGGCACGCATTTGGCGCCCTTCGGACCATCAGATGCGACTTTCAGCTCGTTCGAGCATGCCATCTGTTCCCTCGCATCTGCCATCTGTCCCCCCCTGCAGTGATGTGAGCAACAACAGCCTGTACGGGCGCATCAGCCACAACTTCAACAGCATGGTAGCAGACGGCGATGCGCTCATCAACCTCGCACACAACTTCTTCTACGGCGACGCCGTGCTCTTTGCCGCGGGCTGCCAGGTGTGCCCCGAGGAGATCCCCCACCGCAACCAGCTGCAGCTGGGCGACAGCAGCGTGCGGGTGGCAGGGATGTGCAGCGACACTGCCTCCGGTAGCTTGCGAGACTACTCGGTGGCGGGGGCAGGCAAGGGCGCCAGGGGGAGTCTCGCAGGCAACTGCCTGACGGTCAAACGGGACAACAAGTGCCCGTCTAATGCCACTCAGCGCAGCACGGCAGCCTGCCAGGCGTTCTGCAGCATCACGGACAACGGCCCGTGTGACGGCCATGGGGCGTGTGTGCCGCCTGCACCGGCCGCCCCTGCCAACTCTGGGTACCAGACACCAGTCACCAACTTCACATGCATGTGCGACGCCGGGTACTCCTCCGTGGACCTGGGCAACGGCTCCACCTGCGCCATTGTCAACTCCACCACCACTGCTGCTGGTGAGGCACCCGCACACATGCACAACCCATCTGGAGTCCATGCTGTGCTCACATCTCATCTCCCCTCTGCTGCCCTTCCTGTAGCACTTCTCCGACTGAATTTGCTCCACTCCCCACCCCTGTTCCCCCACCCCGCCTTCTTTACCCCTGGCAGCGTCCTCGCTTTCAACAGGTGCCATTGTTGGCATTGCTGTGGGGTGCTTTACCGGGTTCATTCTGCTCACTGCAGTGCTCGCCTGGCTACTGTGGCCCCGCCGACAGAGTAAGATCGCCAACAATGCTCCCATGTCATTCATCCTATTCTCACACCTCTTTCCCGTTCGCCCTGCCACCATGCCTGCGCTACAGCTCACCCTCCCTGCCGCCACCACCGCTGCATTCCTCCTCTACTTGCTTGCTCAAACCCTCGCTAAATGTGTGTTGCTGCACGGCCTCCAACCATTCACCCTACCTTACAATGCTCTGTTGGGGCACAGGGAAGTGGGAGGGGCTGGACCTGTGCGAGCAGTTCTCACTGCAGCAGCTGGTGAAGGCCACGGACAACTGGGCGCCTGAGAACATGCTGGGGAAGGGGGGGTTTGGCGCCGTGTACAAGGGGATCTCGCCGCAGGGGCAGCTGTGGGCAGTGAAGCGCTCCACTGTTATGACCAACGAATTCGAGACAGAGGTCAGCTCTTTCTACACCATTCAGCCACAGCACCATGACATGACAGTGGCTTCATTGTGCACTTTCGAATGCTGAGCTGCTTCTGCTGTAGTGGAAGTACTGTTGAACCCTGCAACTCGCGTTCTGCCTTCCCTGACCGCTTAAGCTTTGCACCTCATGCAGGTGCGAGCCATGGCATCACTGCACCATGTGAATCTGGTGCGCTTGCTGGGCTTCTGCCAGGATCAGAACGTGGAGACGGGCAAGCAGGAGCAGATCCTCGTGTACGAGTTCGTGGCCAACCGAGACCTGCACCACCACATCTACAAGACCAAGCGTCAGCAGCGAATCAAGTCATTAACTCTCGTGCCAAGTCATTAAGTTGCCCGCCACGTGTGCTTCAGCAGCGAATTTCAAAAGTTGCTTATGCACGAACATGCGCTTCTTGCCTACTTCTCGTGGTCCCTCTTCCAGACCCTCTCTCGCTGCGCCAGAGGCTGCGCCTGGCACAAGGATCAGCAGAGGGCTTGGCATACCTGCATGGGTTTGGCACGCCCATCATCCACCGCGACATTAAGCCCGCCAACATCCTCGTCTCATCCGACATGACGGCTAAGGTGGCAGATTTTGGGCTGCTCAAGCAGCTCACTCATGGCGATGCTCATGCCACCAGAGTGGCGGGCACACCCGGCTATGTGGATCCTGATTACAACCGCACTGGCGTCATCACAGCCAAGAGCGATGTCTTCAGGTAAGCCAATCCACAAGTTACTAAATTTTGATGCCTTTAACATGTCCGGAATATATAAGTTTGATAGTGCACAAACAGACTGTTACTGGTCGTTGTTTTTTTCCGGATCTTTCCATGCCCCCCACACCTGCTTGCAGCTTTGGCATTGTGCTCCTGGAGTTGCTGAGTGGAACGACGCCCCACTCTCACCATGGAGTCCATGTCAAGTCCTGGGTATGCCCATGCTAGATTCAATCATGACGATGCCCCCTGCACTGTCTTTCCTCCCTACGATGCTACCTTGCGCCTTAGCTCTGTATCATGCCACTTGCTCCTCCACTGTTTACTGCGCGACCTCACGCCTTCTCCTATTTATTATGCTGCCTCGCATCGTCTGTTTCTTGTGGTGCAGGCGCAGCAGAGGGTGGATGCATATGAGCCGGACGAGCTCAAGGACAGCAACCTGCAGGCCAGTGACGAGGCTGTGGTGGACTTTGCTGACCTGGCGCTAGACTGCATGAAGGCGCCGGGCACACGCCGCCCAGAGATGAAGGACGTGGCATACCGCCTCCGTGCCCTCATTGACAAGCACTGCCCTGACAAGGAGGAAGAGTGGGAGTGTGGCAAGGAAGAGAGTGTAAGCACCGGAAAGGAGACGTCTACCACGACAAATCCTGGAAACGGGAGCTCATTGCTGAGCTCAAATTCAAGTGGTATCAAGAGTTGGCTGTCACTGAGGTTCTCTTGGGGTTACTGAGTGTCTCTCGTACGAGCATTCCACCATACAAGAAGGAATGCAGCTCCTCCGAGCACATGCCTACTTGGTCCCTCGGAGGCCCACATTTCTTTTTTTTTTTCTTAGGATCTAACCTGTGGTAAAGAGGCTATAAGCAAGGCCCAAATTATTGTGACAAAATACCCTGTTTGCCCTGATTAGCGGCCGTTTTGGCAGGTACCCTTGCAAGGCAGAGTAACTAAATTTCACCCTGGATAAAAAAGTATCAAATTTTGTATTACCCTGTGGACGATTTTTGTTTCCCTGACTGTACAGGGTTTGCTTCGCATTACACTAATACCGTAATCCCCCGTATATAAGACCCTAAGGTATTATGATAATCACCCCTAAAAAGGCTGGGGGGTATAATTATATGGTATACTTTTTAGAAGACCCGGGTCTGTTCATATTGACATTTATAAGAATGTAGTTTAGGAGCTCAAAGAAGTGATATGGAGTTGCTCCGTTTTTAGCTCCTCCCAAAAATACTCGAATTGGTCTCCACACGGGCCAAACCCACGTCATCACAAACCCTATCTGGGAGCCTACTCCCATTGGCCACCAACCACTTGGTATTCACGCAACAGCGCAGGGCACCGTTTGATGGCCTCGGCCTTCACACCCCGTGCGATTTCTCTTAATCAACATGGATTATGACCATTTTCGATTGCTTGTTTGTAAAATCCACACTTCTCTAGGATGTGGCGGGGGGGGGGGGGGGGGTCTTATAATGTTAGGAGCCATTTAGGGGGTATAATTCAGATGTACTCGAATAGAGTACCCGGGTCCGTATTATAGACCCGGGGGTCTACAACTGGGGGGGGGGGGGGGGGTCCTATATACGGGGGATTACGGTATCGGATCTTCTTTACCGAGGGTCCGGCTGTTGGGCTGAGAAATAGCCCTTAGGATCTTTGCAGAGGTGAATTCTACGCTGGTAGGAACAATGTAATAGCGGAAGCTCTTCATGAAGTACTTGAACCACCTTGCGCTGGTATGTGAGGGCAAAGTAGATTAATTAAAGCAAAGAGATACAAGATTATATATGAGTACAAGGAATATGAAGAGATACAGTTGTAACTACTTTACTGTTGCTGTTGCGGTTCGATACAGTGACGACTCGGGCAACTGCTCTGTAACGAGTCAGTTGTGTGTCCTTGCTGTCGTGCTGTACTTGTCAGGTCAAAGGTTGCTGACCTTTGACTTTCGCGTAACCTCCAGCAACTGCTCAACCTCCGAGGGTTGACTCGTTAGTGCTTTGATATGCTTTGCTTCGATTGTGCCTTGGTGTTTCGACACGACAAAGGCGCTTAAGACTGATTGTTTCCAACACTCCCCTTCGCTTCTGGAGTGTCGTTGCTGGTGACGTGGCTCTGTCCAGTCAGCAGCATGCAGTACTCGAATTTCTGCTTTCCGAGCTTCTTGGTCAAATAGTCGGCTGCCATCTTGGATGTGGGACAGTATGACACTTCGAACCTCCCCTTCTCGATCTCGTCCTTCACGAAGAAGTATCGCAGGGCGATATGTTTCGTCCTGTTCGCGAAGCCGTTCTTGTTGGCGATGCGAATCGCTGACTGGTTGTCGCAGAACAGGGTGAAGCTTGGTAACTGGGCCAATTTGGTTAGATGCAGGAGTCGGTCAGTCTTGCCATGCAACTGACGATGTTTCTTGCTCCTTGTGCAGGTTGTCCCGTTGAGGTCGTTGAGGCTTGAATTTGGGTCGTGGGATTCGCTTGCGTTGAAGCGACTTGGCTGCTTGAAGGTCGAAGCTGCCGCTGCGGTGGTGTTGACTGTTGTCGATTCGGGCAGTGCGTGCGCGGGTGCCCTGACGTCTTGCAGATGTGGCAGAACGGAGGGGTGGGCTTCGGTTGTTGCCGGTTGTTGTTGTTGTTGTAGCGTCGCTGAGTGTGAAATGCAAACTCGGATGCTGACGTTTTCTTCTTGTGTCGTTCTTCTTGCAGGTCCATGTCTTGCTGCTCGGCGTGGATTTCGGCGCAGAGCGCTGCTTCGGAGATTCTTCCGTGGGCTCGGAGAATGGCTTTTGTGGCGCGCCATTGAGGACCGAGGCCGCCGATGATGACTGTCACGAAGGCGTCTTCAGATATCGACCCTCCGCATCGAAGAAGCTTGTCGCGCAGTTCGCGACATCGGCTGATATACGCCATTCCCTTCTCGCCTGGTTTCATTTCGACCGTTGTCAGTTGAGCCATTAACCGACTTTGATTTACACTGTCTGTTGCTTGATACAGGCTCTTCAAGTGGTTGTATGCGAGCTCCGCGGAATTGCCGTATCCCTGGAAATACCGTATATTCTGCTGCTGAGTTGGTGTGATGTTCCTCAGTAGGATTGTGTACGCCATCATTGACTGATAGGTGTACTGCTGCCTTTCGTACATACTGTGTGCCATTTGTTGGGTATGGCAGGGACCCGTCGAAGAAGCCGAGGATTTGCGCGCCTTCCATCATGAGCTCGAACTCGAACGACCAGGTGAAGAAGTCCTTTCCATCGAAAGGCCTCGATGTCTTCAGCTTTAAGACGTGCGCGAACTCCGACTGAACTTGTAACGCGTCCATTGGTTTCTCTTGTCCAGGTGGAGCTTGCGGGTGCGGCATGAAGCTGATGGACCCGCGCTCGTACGGAGCAAAGGTAGGCTGTTGCTGTTGATTTCCGCGCGCGTATGACGAACCATCAAGGCTCATTGGAGTCACGTCGTTGTTGCTGTTGTTTGACTGCGCAGGTGCCGATTGCTGGTGCTGCTCGTAGAAGGACATGAAGGAGAAGAACTTCTCCATCATGTTCTGGTCGAAGACTGCAGATTGATTCGCAGGAGTCTCGGTAGACGTCGCCCTAGGTCTTGTTGCCGTACCCTCCTCTGTCAGTAGGCCAGAGGCATTAGGTGGAGTAGGAGTAGTGCCAGGAGAACCGTTAGAGGAACTCTTTTCCTTCTGAGTTGCCATGCCTTCTGATGTTGTAGGTGACTTGATAGTAGTTGAATTCCCCCTGATAGCTCTGACACCATGTTGGGCTGAGAAATAGCCCTTAGGATCTTTGCAGAGTTGAATTCTAGGTAGGAACAATGTAATAGCGGAAGCTCTTAATGAAGTACTTGAACCACCTTGCGCTGGTATGCGAGGGCAAAGAAGATTAATTAAAACAAAGAGAGACAGGATTATATAAGAGTACAAGGAATATGAAAAGATACAGTTGTAACTACTTTACTGTTGCTGTTGCGGTTCGATACAGTACGACTTGGGCAACTGCTCTGTAACGAGGTTAGTTGTGTGTCCTTGCTGTCGTGCTGTACTTGTCAGGTCAAAGGTTGCTGACCTTTGACTTTCGCCTGCTCAACCTCCGAGGGTTGACTCGTTAGTGCTTTGATATGCTTTGCTTCGATTGTGCCTTGGTGTTTCGACACGACAGAGGCGCTTAAGACTGATTGTTTCCAACACCGGCTACACATAATATTGCGGAGAGCCACTCTACAACGGTAGTGAGCTAGACTACGGGGGTTGGCACGAACTACTAGGAGTGATTCTAGCTTTGCTTAGTTCCTTAGGCTTGCACATTCAAAAAAAAAAAAAAGCAAGAGTCTCCACTAGCAAAGTTGGGATTACAGAACGATTGAACAAGCAATGACAGAACTGACTACAACAGGCACCGTCGACCGCCAGCACTGCATGGTCGATCGGCTGCCAGCGTTGCGTAGAGGAGCCGCGCCAGCACTGCAGAAAGGCGACCTGCCAACACTGCAGGTCGACGGCGTGCCAACGCTGCAGCAGAGCGGCTGTCCAGCGTTGCCCCGTAGAAGACAGCAGTGCGCACGCTCGCAGGTGCGCGCAGATGATTGGCCCGACTTGGATTGGGTGTGCATCCGTCGGCTGTTGACCACCAGGTGCCTCTGGTCGACCACCAAGGGCCCCTGGTTCGACCGCAGCTCCTGTCGAGCTGCTCCCTGGTCGACGGACCCCTTCCGTCGACCAGAACTCTTTGCTGATATCGCCGAGCTTTTCTTTGCGACCGTTGCTCACATGTCAGGTCGACGGACTGCTCCATCGACCTCCCCGTCGAACAGGAACTCCTGGTCGACAGCCCACCCATCGCCAAGCCCAGCCAGCTGTGCCCGTTGATCACCCGTGGTCGACGGAAACCCCACAGTGACACCCTGCAGCTCGACGAAGCCCGTCGAGTAGCTCCCTCACTGTAATCGGTCGGCTGCTGCTTCTTCCGTACATCCGACCAAGTCGTCGGCGTTGCCCAAGCGAGGGCGGGGCCAACACTCCACTCCCGTTAACACTCCCCTGCCGCGCTCACGCTTGGGCCTCCAGATCATACGGCAGTACTCCACGGAGAAAACTCGTCCTCGGCGTACACCCGACACACAACACGCCGTCACCGCTCCAGCCGTGCAGAAAGGCACGGCACCTACTGCTACACATCATTGTCGCCGTCGCCGACGTCGTCCAGACGAACTTGGCCGATGGCAACAAAGCACCAGTTGAACGTCAGAAAATGCAGTGCCTTCGTCAGAAAGTTTGCCGGATGCTCGGTGGTCGGGATGTACTTTAACACGAACTTCCCGCGCCTCACTATGCGTTGCAGCTACACGTAGCGTCGCTCCATGTGCTTGAGGTCGCCCATCAGCCTCAATCCTTCTGCGACCGTGATCGCCGACTTGTTGTCCACACTGAGGACAATCGGCCAACCATCGAGCAGCTTGAACTCTGCAAGGAGGAAGCGAAGTCGACGCCCCTCCTTGCCGGCGTCCGTGGCCGCAACTTACTCCGACTCGGTCGAGGAGAGCGTCGCGCACTTGATGCGCTGGCTCGACCACGACACCGCGGCCCCTCCGTAAATGAACACATAGACGCCTGTGCTCGTTTGAATCTTCTTTTCGCCCGCGTCGTCGGCATCCACGTAGCCGATCAGCTCCAGCGACTCTGGTCCACCGCCGAACTCCAGGGCGGTGTCGCGGGTGTCAACGAGGTAGACGAGGCAACGGTCGACCTTGCGCCAATGCTAGTGCTCCTCACCGTGAGGCCGCTCCCCGGCTTGCTCCTCGTCGTCGTCGCCGCGAACTGGTGACGACATGGCAGGGCCGGCCTCTCCGAACCTCTTCAAATCCACCGCCTCCTCTTTAACCTCACCCCAGACTACGAATCCCGCCTCCACGCCTTTACCGAAGCCAATCCCATGGCCGATCTCGTCTCCGTTGAATAGTGGATCATTGATACCGAAGTCAAACTCCGCACCCCCATTGTCAATCCCGCCTCCTCCCAACCCTCCTCTCCCTCCCTCAACGCTACTCAGCCCCGCAAGCAGGGCAAGAACAACAGCAAAGGGGGAGGTGGGGGCAAAGGGGGTGGTGGTCAAGGAGGCAGCAGCAGCCGTGGTGGCACAACCGGGGACGAGCATGGCACCACCAATTTGGGTGGAGCCTCTGCAAGTCGCGGGAGTCGCCCTGGCACGCTTCCTCCCTGCACCTATGTCCGCCGCTATGGTCACCGAGCTGGAACACCCTGCGGGCCGACCAACCATCCCCCTGGCACTTGCTTCAAAGCTCTTCATGATGCCTGGTACGCACGGGGTAACGTTGGCACTCCCCCAAAGTGGGGTACGATCTCCCCACGTCCCTCCCCTGCCGACATCCAAACCAACCCCGCTTACCTCCCTGCACACCTCCGCCTCGTTCCCCTCACACCTTTCCTCAACCTCCAGCAGCAGCACCTCCAGCAGCAGCAGCAGCAGCAGCAGCAACTGCAGCAGCTGTTTCAGCAGCAACCACAGCAGCAGCAGCAGCCGCAACCGCAGCAGCACCCATGTGGATCGGGACCCCAGCCCTAGTGGGGACCCAGTCCTCCTCCTTGGCAGCAGCAGCAGCCGAATTTTGGCACCGCAGCCATAACCGCTCAGGCCTCACCGGCCCCCCTTTGGGGTGCTCCACCCCCCCCAGTAGCACTGCCGCCCCTCTCACCCAGGACAGCTTTCTTGGCAACATTGCTATCTCACCCTCTCTTCCTTCCATGTACCCATCCAACATTAATGAAACCACTTTCCAGTACTCAGTGTCTTCCTCCTCCTCCTCACCCACTCTGGACTTTGTCCTCGATAGTGGGGCCACTGAGACCGCTCTCAAAGATGCTGGTACACTCACACCCCTCTCTCCACCTACTCAGGTTCATGGCGCTGACAGCAGCTTCACCATCCCATGCACACACCTCTCCACTCTCCCCTGCTCACTCTTCCCCTCTGGTAAGGTAACTGGTCTCCACATCCCCACCCTCGAAACAACCTCCTCTCCCATCGTGAAATCCAGAGTGCAGGTATCACTGCCGTCTATCTAGGCAATGCCACCTACTGTGACCTTTACCACACTGCCTCCGGCCGCTTCCTCCTCCGCATACCCCTCTGCCCCCGCACTCGCCTCTACACTCTCCACACTCCTTGGCCATCCTCCTGCCATGTTACCACTCGTGCGGGTACCTCCACCAGCCCTCCCCATCCACCTCCCTCCCCTCCCACTCCGCCATCTCCCCACTCCTTCATCCCGCCCTCATTCATTCCAATCCCCTCCACCTCCGACCATCTCTCCCACCCCGCTGTTCTCCTACATCACCGACTCGGCCATCCGAATTTTGCCGCTCTCCGCACTGCCGTCACCTCACGACTCCTTCACAGCCTCCCTCCCGCTCATCCTCCCCTTCCCTCCTACCCAGCCCCCCCATGCCCCTCCTGCATCCACGGCAAACTCAAACAATCTCCTCACCACAGCCACCCATCCTTTGCTCCTGCTCCAATTGACCTTGTCCATATGGACCTCTGGGGACCCTCCCCCACCCGCTCACGCCAAGGCCATCGCTACATGCTTGTCCTTGTTGACGATCACAGCCGCTACTCCTCCGTTTTCCTCCTCCACACAAAAGACCAGGCGCCGACCATGATCATCAACTGGGCAGAGCAATGCCGCACCCACTTCAAACGTCCCATCGGCCGCCTACATTCCGATGGGGGAGGCGAATTCCTCAATCGCACTCTCTCCCACTACTGCACCACCCATGGAATCCAACAGACCCACACCCTTCCCCACTCCCCACAGCAAAACGGCATCGCAGAAAGCCGCATTCGCGAAATCACTAAGATCGCCCGCTGTCTCCTCGCTCACGCCTCCACCCCTCCTCTCTGGGGCTATGCCCTGCTACATGCTGCCCTCCTCCTCAACCTTCACTCCCATCCTCACCACACTACCACCACCCCCACGGAACTCTGGTCGGGCACCAATCCTGACGCTGCCGGTCTCCGTGTCTGGGGTTGCAAGGCATATGTGCTTATCCCTCCACCTGATCACACCCACGGCAAGCTCGCTTCTTGCGCCCTCGAGTGTGTCTACCGCGGACACAACCGCGACTCGCCTGACTACCTCTTCCTTCACCCTCCCTCTGGTCGCCTTATTCGCAGCATTGACGTCGTCTTTGATGAAACTACCCCATATTACTCCTCTCCACCACCGGACCCCCTCCCTCCTCCCACACGTCCTCTCGCTTGGGCCGACACCGTCCTCCCTCCCCTCCTCCCTCCGGCACCCCTTCTCCCACCCCTCCCTACTCCGCGTCCGCCACCTTCATCTGCCGACATCTACGATCCCACTGCTCCTGCATCCCCCGCACACTCCGCGGCCCCCCCTCCCTCCTCCCCTTCCCCCTCTCCTTCTCATCCATCCCAGCAGCAGCAGCAGCAGCAGCAGCAGCAGCAGCAGCAGCAGCAGCAGCAGCAGCAGCAGCAGCAGCAGCAGCCTCAGCAGCGACTGCAGCAGCAGCAGCAGCCGCAGCAGCAGCAGCAGCAGCAGCAGCAGCCGCAGCAGCAGCAGCAGCAGCAGCAGCAGCAGCCGCAGCAGCAGCAGCAGCAGCAGCAGGGGCAGCAGCAGCAGCAGGGGCAGCAGCAGCAGCAGGGGCAGCAACACCGGGAGGAGCAGCAGCAGCCGCAGCAGCAGCAGGGGTTCCAGCAGCACCAGCAGCAGCAGCGCCAGAGGGCAACTGCACGCTCCTCACCCTTCCTCCTCCCTCGCATGCACACCCGCTCCCTTGATCCCATCCTTGGCACACCACCTCCTCCCTCCCTCAACCAACTGGAGGACTCCCATGAGGAGTTCACCATGGTTCAGCGCCACACTCCCTCTCTCACCACACTCTACCCTGGCCTCCTCGGAGCTCTACTCCTTAGCGCGATTTCCGCCCCCACCATCTTCGTCCCCTCCACCTTCCAGGAAGCTATCACCTGCCCTGACGCCGATCAGTGGATAGCCGCCATCTTCCTGGAATGTGAGGCATTCATCCGCAACGACTCCTTCGTCGACGTTCCCCTCCCTCAAGACGCCAACCTAGTCGAGGGCAAGTGGATTGTTCGAGTCAAGCAGCTGCCGGGAGAAGAACCAGTCTACAAAGCCCGCTACGTTGCCAAGGGGTTCACCCAGACCTGGGCTGAGGACTACTGGTTTACATTTGCCCCCACAGTTAAGCAGGCCACCCTCCGCACCCTTCTTGATATTGGTGCACGTGACAACATGGAGATTGACTCCATGGACGTCTCCAACGCGTTCCTGCAAGGCGAACTGCACGAGCGTATCTTCCTCCGCCGGCCTCCCGGGTTTCATGCTGCTTTCCCCGACAACACCGTCTGGCAACTAAAGCGACCGGTCTACGGCCTGAAGCAGGCACCACGAGAATGGCATGCGAAGCTGTCTGCCACTCTCCAGTCTCTTGGCTTCTCTGCCTCCCACTCCGATGCCAGCCTCTTCATCCGCTCTTCCCCCCGTCGCTTCTTCATCTCGGTCTACGTTGACGACATGATCCTGCTCGCTGACACCAGGGCCGACATGGATCAGGTGAAGCGGTCACTTCAGGAACGACTCAAGTGCAAGGACCTTGGTCCGCTGCAGAACTACCTCGGCATGGCTATCACCCGCAATCGATCCGCCCGCACCATCACCCTCTCCCAGTCCCACTACATCAGTCAGGTCCTGGAGAAGTTCGAGATGGCACAGGCCAAACCAGTCTCCACACCCCTCCCCTTCGGTCACCAGCTTGCGCCACCCACCTCCCCCTCCACCTCCTCCCGGCCCTATGCCGAGCTTGTTGGGTCACTGATGTACGCAATGATGTGCACTCGTCCCGACCTCGCCTACCCCGTCAGCGTCCTTGCTCGGTTCGTCGGCCCCGGCCGCCACACTGAGGAACACTGGGCTGCCGCCAAGCGGGTCCTCCGCTATCTCCATGGCACCAAGGATCACGCTCTCACGTTGGGTGGATCTTCCCCTCCCCTTCTCTCTGGCTTCAGCGACTCCTCCTGGGCAGACTCTCAGCCAGACCGCCGCTCCTCCCAAGGCTATGGCTTTACCCTCGGCAGCGGACTTATCAGCTGGCGTTCCACCCGCTCCTCTGCCATCGCCCTCTCATCATGCGAAGCTGAGCTCTATGCGGGCACCATGGCCGCTCAAGAGTCCCGCTGGCTCTGCTTTCTTCTGGCCGAGCTTGGTGCTCCCCAGCGCTGTCCCACACTCTGGTGTGACAACGCTAGCACCATCCATCTCATATAGGACCCCGTCTTTCATGGTCGCTCCAAGCACATCGAGCTCCGCTATTTCTTCATCCACGAACTCGTCCAACAGAATCTCATCGCCGTTCGCAAGATCGCTGCTGAAGCCAACTTGGCTGATATCTTTTTTAAAGCACTTCTTCGCCCTGCGCACTCTGCTCTTCTCCGCCTCATCGGCCTCGCTCCCCCAGGCGCGCCTTGATTCAGGGGTTGCTTCTCTCAAGCCTTTCCGCATCTCTGCAGGTTAAGGGGTTGTGTTAGAATATCTCTCCTCTTGTAACCTGCATATATGCTATAGGATAGGCTAGAGTTAAGCACCCAAACTTAGTTTGGGTGTACAAGCAGGGGTAACCCAGTTTGTAGGTTGGAAACCCAACCTTGGTCCAATTATTGGACCCCAAAGGTTGGGTTGGGTAGAATTATTGGTCCCCTCCAATAATGTTGGCCCAACCCCAACTTGGCCAACATTATTGGACCCCACCAATAATCTCCCAACCCAACTTCTTGGTTGGGGTCCAATAATGCTCACCTAGGCTAGTATCCAACCCACTTCCTATGTATACCCCCATCCTTCTCAATCAAACCATCAACTTCATTCCTAACTCTTCTTCTCACATATCCATCTCTCACTCACTCACTCACTCACTCACTCACTCACCCACTCACTCACTCTCTCAAGCAGTAACAACTCACTCACATCCTCCACGCAGCAACAACTGCGTCTCGCCTACCTACGCGCTTGTTGTGGGGGCTCCATGTTCTTGTAGTGCATGCATTTATCAAACGTGCACACGTGCATGCCAAGTTGGATGCCCAAATGCAGGTGTGGGGGCGTGTGTGCATTTTTGCATGCCTCTCATCCGCTTCCCACCACGTGTGCCTTGGGTGGGCGTCAGAGCCATCGCCAACAACCATTTCACTGGAGAATTTCCCCAGCCTCTTCTGCACACACACCACCTTGCTTCACTGTGAGATGCGCTCTTACGGTTATAGACAAAGGTTGGTTGCAGTGGAATTACCACATAGAATCATTTCTATACTTGACAGAATTGCAATGCGAACCTTTTCTTCTGGTGCCACTACTGAAGGCGGCTGTTGCACTCCTCTCCTGGTGATGGGAATGAAAATGGCAATGGCAATGGCAATGGCAGGGATGTGAGCAACAACAGCTTCTCTGGATCCATCCCCCTGCAATTGACCGAGCTCCTGGAGCTGGTTGACATGTGCGTGGTGCCCCAGGGATATCACCTTTCCCGTAAACTTGCTCCTACTTAATGACCGGGTCTTGACAACGGGGTACGCCACTCGAGACTTGACAACGGGGTTTCCATGCTCCTGCATCAACCATGCCGCGTAGCCAAGCCTGTTCCTCATCACGCCCAGCCTATATCATTTGTTCACGTGTTGTAAAAAAGGACTTTGAGTATTCAGTCCAGTGGTGTAGCTCTTGAATGTCTCCCATGAGCTCAACTGTTGCACTCTGTCACCGCTTCTTTCCGAGTGACTCGGCCAGCAATCTCAATGACAACAACTTCCATGGATCAATCCCCTCTGGCCTCTTCCACCTCCCCCTGCTTTACTCACTGTGAGTACCTCCACGGCGCCATTGCGTCCAGTGCACCTTCTATAATACGGACTGCATTACAAAACAGGCTAACGCAAGATTCTTACGTTGACTCAAAAGATCAGTCAAGTCTTGATTCTTTCCAGTAACAAACCTAGTCCTCACGCCCGTTAGATAGCCTGCAGAGGTCCAACTTGTGCGCCTGCTGCTCGTTTCCTATGATACCTCCTTGCGTCTCATCATTCTTCACCTTTGCATTCGCATTCTCAGCTTCCAGTTTGGCAGTAGCTCATAGTGCATGCAAGCAACCACCATTTTAACCTCCTTCCCAACGCAGGCAAGTGTCAGACAACTTCCTTGCCGGGAACCTTCCAGTGAAGCTTAAAGCCTCCTCCACACTTGCCATGCTGTAAGCAGAGCCACCACTCGCTGTGCTGCCACCACTCGCTGTGCTGCCACCACTCGCTGTGCTGCCACCACTCGCTGTGCTGCCACCACTCGCTGTGCTGCCACCACTCGCTGTGCTGCCACTACTCGCTGTGCTGCCACCACTCGCTGTGCTGCCACCACTCGCTGTGCTGCCACCACTCGCTGTGCTGCCACTACTCGCTGTGCTGCCACCACTCGCTGTGCTGCCACCACTCGCTGTGCTGCCACCACTCGCTGTGCTGCCACCACTCGCTGTGCTGCCACTACTCGCTGTGCTGCCACCACTCGCTGTGCTGCCACCACTCGCTGTGCTGCCACTACTCGCTGTGCTGCCACCACTCGCTGTGCTGCCACCACTCGCTGTGCTGCCACTACTCGCTGTGCTGCCACCACTCGCTGTGCTGCCACCACTCGCTGTGCTGCCACTACTCGCTGTGCTGCCACCACTCGCTGTGCTGCCACCACTCGCTGTGCTGCCACTACTCGCTGTGCTGCCACTACTCGCTGTGCTGCCACCACTCGCTGTGCTGCCACTACTCGCTGTGCTGCCACTACTCGCTGTGCTGCCACCATCGTTGCGCTCTCCGTCCTGATCATTCCTGGAGTGGAGTTTGCCCACCTTTCGTTGCATCGCGTGCAGTAGCCTCGCAGGAAACGGCTTCACAGGCTCCTTGCCAGACTTCTCGCTCTGGAAGGGCAGCTTTGAAACGCTGTAAGCTTCTTCCCCTCCCTCCCTTCCCCTCCAACCCCCTGTCCTTCCCCCACTATTTCTTCTTCCCGTCTCAATTCCCTCAGTGTTTCTTGACATATCTTCTTTCCTTTCCCGTGGCCATCTTTCTGATCACTGGCAAGGGTCTTGCCTGTATCAACTCTTTTGGGCTTTTGGGTGCAGGGCGCTGAGCAACAACAACTTCACAGGGCCCATTCCGGACTCCATCACTACGCTCTCCACTCTGCAGGCCATGTAAGCCTCGTCTGGTGTCGTGCCCACACCACATGCCCCTCTCACCACATGCCCCTCTCACCACATGCCCCTCTCACCACATGTCCCTCTCACCACATGCCCCTCGTCATATACCCACCTGCATCTGCAGAGTGCGTTGGCAGGGAGAACACTGGCAGGGCCAGGCTTGCACCTAGCAGCAGCCGCTGTCTCATGTGCTCTGTGATAACCATGCCCCATCCTGTGCTCTGTCCTTCCCATGCCACATATGCTTTGCCTTGCAATGCCTCACCCGCTCTGCCCTTGCCATGCCTCTGCAGCATCCTCGACAACAACCAACTGACGGGAACCATTCCAGCTGCCATCTTCAACATGACGAATCTACAATCCCTGTGAGCCTTGAGTGAGCATATTGTGTTGATTTGAGGGTCTTAGGACAAACCTTTGCACCTCAATTCCCCTGCTATGACCGCTGCTTTCCTGTGTCAACTTGTGCTGCTCTCCCATATGCTACTCTTGCTCACAGCGGTCCCTCACGTCCATACTCCCCCCCATACTTCCCTCCATACACCCCTCCATACTCTCCTTGTGCCCCTCTATGCTCTGCAGCTACCTGGCCAACAACCATCTGAGTGGCAGTCTGCCGTCTGCCATCAGTCGCTTGGAGAAGCTCCAACAGATGTGAGGACCCTCCCTGCCTGCCCTCCCTGCCTGCCCTCCCTGCCTGCCATCTAAGCAGTGAGGGAGAGCGTGTTATGCAGCAGGGGAGGCAAGGGGATGTAGACAAGAGCAATGAGCGAACCGAACACAGTTCACTTGAACAGTTTTCGAACACTAGGTCAAGTCCAACCGCACTCGAAGAGGTGGAATCGAACAGTTTTCCTAAAGGTTAGAGTTCGCTGGTCGAGTATAGGGTCGAGCAGTCTTGAGGTAAGGCCGAACGTTTAGGTGTTTGACCCAAACTCGAACAGTTCGAGGATAGTCACATTCGGGGCACGTCAAATATTCAGGCGGCCCCTGCTTCGACCCCTGCATCTGTCCCCCCCCCTCCCCCCCCCCCCCCAATGCCCCCCAACCCACAGCTGGCTGGACAACAACAGCATCGAGGGCCCTCTGCCATCTGCCATCTGCTCGCTGCCCTGGCTGTGGCGCATGTGAGTGGCTGTGGCGCATGTGAGTGGCTGTGGCGTGGCCATTGGTCCGGCCACGAGGAATGCAGAATCTGGATGGATGCAAGCTGTGAGCAGTACACAAGCACTGTGGAGGGTGTAGAGGGTGGGGAGGATGTGGAGGGTGTACTGGAACTGTGGCCAAGTGAAAACGAGCCCGAACCTCACCAGAAGCAGCTGTTGCGAGCAGCAGCCCTGATGGAAGAGGAGAATCTTGAGAAAGGCAAGGCTTGGTACTGTCAGCAAGAGAGAGAACCTTGCAAGCACTTCAATTCCTGCTCGGATCGTACGCATGGATGAGAGGTGACACGCGCACCAAGCAAGACATCCACACAAGGCAAATAGACACGCACATGCTCGTGTGAGATGCTTGGCTCCAAAAACCCCGATGTCATGACATACCTAAGCAAGCAACAGGTCCATCCATCCATCCAGGTGGTGTAAGTCTGCACCACAGCATATCTAATATCTACTTATTTTGTGTGCCTTACTATCTTAGCTTTCCTTGCCTTCTCATCTTGTTTCCCTTTCGTTCTATGTGTCCCCGCAAGGTGTGATTCGTGGTGGAGCATGCATGGCATGGCGTGGCATGATCATGGCATGGCATGGCGTGGCATGGCATGGCATGGCATGACATGGCATGGCATGGCATGGGTTGTGCTGACAGCATGGTGAGCAACAACCTTCTCTACGGGCCTCTGCCAGACTGCCTCTTCGACAAATGCATCAACCAGATGTGAGCCCACCTGCTTACTTCATCCATCCCCACTACCAAAGACTGTTGCGAGGTATTTTGCTCACTTCTGTCACTGCTATCACTACTGTCACTGCGGTAACTGCGGTAACTGCGGTGGTGCAGCCGATTGACTACAGTGGGCGACGCCGACTTAGGCGAGCAGGTCGACGGATCTGGTCGACCTACACGGGGCCACTACGACGCCACCGACGACAGGCCGGCGGCTGACTCTATCTGGTGGTTGACGTGACGACCAGGGGGGCGTCGTCTAGAGGACGCAGACCTTGGGATGCGGACTTGGCGAAGTCGGCTGATAGCCTCGCGGTGGTCACGGCGGGTTCGCCGACCTACAAAATGGCCGACTTGGTGAAGTTGGCAGGTGGCCATCGGCCTGCGTGGTCGACGAGCGCGTACAGCTGTTGGCGAGCTCTGGCCGTGCAAATCGACGCCGACTTGCGGGTTTCCCTGTCGACCAAGTTACCCAGGCGATGAGGTTCTACAAGGTGCACGACCGTCGTCCAGGAGATTCTGGCGAAGCCGACTTGGTAGCGGCGCCGTGCAGGTGACTGTGCACATCGCACCAACCGTCTGCAAGCACCTGCGAAGTAGGTGCGCGCGTGTGCGCAGCTGTCACCTGCGGATGCAACGCGGGACGACCGTCGACTTGCTGCGTTGGCAAGCTCTTGTTGTAGAGTGACTCTCCGTGGTAACTGCGGTAACTGCGGTAACTGTGGTAACTGCGGCCACTGCGGTCAGGTGCAAAGTGTGGTGAGTCGCATGCCTTGGATGAACGCGCAGTTGACATTCACGTGGGCCTCTCAATCCGCTCTAGCGAGCCTTTCTCCTAGCCCTCGCATCTGTCATGTGCCCTTCTTCCCTCCCCACCTTCCCCTTGCAGCGACGTCAGCGTCAACAGCCTGTACGGCGTGTGAGCCGCAACTTCAACAGCATGGTGGCGCTCATCAACTTGGCTCACGGATCAAAGGCCAAAAACCAACCTGTCACCCAACCCCCACTCCCCCCCTTCTCCCCTGCAGCGATGTGAGCAACAACAGCCTGTACGGGCGTGTGAACCGCAACTTCAACAGCATGGTAGCAGACGGCGGCGCGCTCATCAACCTCGCACACAACTTCTTCTACGGCGACGCCGTGCTCTTTGCCGCGGGCTGCCAGGTGTGCCCCGAGGAGATCACCCAGCGCAACCAGCTGCAGCTGGGCGACAGCAGCGTGCGCGTGGCAGGGATGTGCAGCGACACTGCCTCCGGTAGCTTGCGAGACTACTCGGTGGCGATGGCAGGCAAGGGCGCCAGGGGGAGCCTCGCAGGCAACTGTCTGACGCTCAAGCGGGACAACAAGTGCCCGTCCAACGCCACCCAGCGCAGCACGGCAGCCTGCCAGGCGTTCTGCAGCATCACGGACAACGGCCCGTGTGACGGCCATGGGGCATGTGTGCCGCCTGCACCGGACGCCCCTACCAACTCTGGGTACCAGACACCAGTCACCAACTTCACCTGCATGTGCGACGCCAGGTACTCCTCCGTGGGCCTGGGCAACGGGTCCACCTGTGCCATCCTCAACTCCACCACCACTGCTGGTGAGGCACCCTCTCACATGCATGCACAGCCATCTGGAGACTGAAGCCCATGCTGTGCTCACATCCTCCCCCTTCCTGCCCTTCCTGCCCTTCCTGCCCTTCCTGCCCTTCCTGCCCTTCCTGCCCTTCCTGCCCTTCCTTCCCTCCCTGCCCTTCCTGCCCTTCCTGCCCTTCCTGCCCTTCCTGCCCTTCCTGCCCTTCCTGCCCTTCCTGCCCTTCCTGCCCTTCCTGCCCTATCTGCCCTTCCTTCCCTTCCCGCCCTTCCTGCCCCTCCTGCCCTTCCTGCCCTTCCTGCCCTTCCTGCCCTTCCTGCCCTTCCTGCCCTTCCTGCCCCCTTCCTTCCCTCCCTGCCCTTCCTGCCCTTCTTGCCCTTCTTGCCCTTCCTGCCCTTCCTGCCCTTCCTGCCCTTCCTGCCCTTCCTGCCCTTCCTGCCCTTCCTGCCCTTCCTGCCCTATCTGCCCTTCCTTCCCTTCCCGCCCTTCCTGCCCCTCCTGCCCTTCCTGCCCTTCCTGCCCTTCCTGCCCTTCCTGCCCTTCCTGCCCTTCCTGCCCTTCCTTCCCTCCCTGCCCTTCCTGCCCTTCCTGCCCTTCCTTCCCTCCCTGCCCTTCCTGCCCTTCCTGCCCTTCCTGCCCTTCCTGCCCTTCCTGCCCTTCCTGCCCTTCCTGCCCTTCCTGCCCTTCCTGCCCTTCCTGCCCTTCCTGCCCTTCCTGCCCTTCCTGCCCTTCCTGCCCTTCCTGCCCTTCCTGCCCTTCCTGCCCTTCCTGCCCTTCCTGCCCTTCCTGCCCTTCCTTCCCTCCCTGCCCTTCCTGCCCTTCCTGCCCTTCCTTCCCTTCCTGCCCTTCCTGCCCTTCCTGCCCTTCCTGCCCTTCCTTCCCTTCCTGCCCTTCCTGCCCTTCCTGCCCCTCCTGCCCCTCCTGCCCTTCCTGCCCTTCCTGCCCTTCCTGCCCTTCCTGCCCTTCCTGCCCTTCCTGCCCTTCCTGCCCTTCCTGCCCTTCCTGCCCTTCCTGCCCTTCCTGCCCTTCCTGCCCTTCCTTCCCTTCCTGCCCTTCCTGCCCCTCCTGCCCTTCCTGCCCTTCCTGCCCTTCCTGCCCTTCCTGCCCTTCCTTCCCTTCCTGCCCTTCCTGCCCTTCCTGCCCTTCCTGCCCTTCCTGCCCTTCCTGCCCTTCCTTCCCTCCCTGCCCTTCCTGCCCTTCCTGCCCTTCCTTCCCTTCCTGCCCTTCCTGCCCTTCCTGCCCTTCCTGCCCTTCCTGCCCTTCCTGCCCTTCCTGCCCTTCCTGCCCTATCTGCCCCTTTCTTCCCTTCCTGCCCTTCCTGCCCTTCCTGCCCCTCCTGCCCTTCCTGCCCTTCCTGCCCTTCCTGCCCTTCCTGCCCTTCCTGCCCTTCCTGCCCTTCCTGCCCTTCCTGCCCTTCCTGCCCTTCCTGCCCTTCCTTCCCTCCCTGCCCTTCCTGCCCTTCCTGCCCTTCCTGCCCTTCCTGCCCTTCCTGCCCTTCCTGCCCTTCCTGCCCTTCCTGCCCTTCCTGCCCTATCTGCCCTTCCTTCCCTTCCCGCCCTTCCTGCCCCTCCTGCCCTTCCTGCCCTTCCTGCCCTTCCTGCCCTTCCTGCCCTTCCTGCCCTTCCTGCCCTTCCTTCCCTCCCTGCCCTTCCTGCCCTTCTTGCCCTTCCTGCCCTTCCTGCCCTTCCTGCCCTTCCTGCCCTTCCTGCCCTTCCTGCCCTTCCTGCCCTTCCTGCCCTTCCTGCCCTATCTGCCCTTCCTTCCCTTCCCGCCCTTCCTGCCCCTCCTGCCCTTCCTGCCCTTCCTGCCCTTCCTGCCCTTCCTGCCCTTCCTGCCCTTCCTGCCCTTCCTTCCCTCCCTGCCCTTCCTGCCCTTCCTGCCCTTCCTTCCCTCCCTGCCCTTCCTGCCCTTCCTGCCCTTCCTGCCCTTCCTGCCCTTCCTGCCCTTCCTGCCCTTCCTGCCCTTCCTGCCCTTCCTGCCCTTCCTGCCCTTCCTTCCCTTCCTGCCCTTCCTGCCCTTCCTGCCCTTCCTGCCCTGCCTGCCCTGCCTGCCCTTCCTGCCCTTCCTGCCCTTCCTGCCCTTCCTGCCCCCTGCCCTTCCTGCCCTTCCTGCCCTTCCTTCCCTTCCTGCCCTTCCTGCCCTTCCTGCCCTATCTGCCCTTCCTTCCCTTCCTGCCCTTCCTGCCCTTCCTGCCCCTCCTGCCCTTCCTGCCCTTCCTGCCCTTCCTGCCCTTCCTGCCCTTCCTGCCCTTCCTGCCCTTCCTGCCCTTCCTGCCCTTCCTGCCCTTCCTGCCCTTCCTGCCCTTCCTGCCCTATCTGCCCTTCCTTCCCTTCCTGCCCTTCCTGCCCCTCCTGCCCTTCCTGCCCTTCCTGCCCTTCCTGCCCTTCCTGCCCTTCCTTCCCTTCCTGCCCTTCCTGCCCTTCCTGCCCTTCCTGCCCTTCCTGCCCTTCCTTCCCTCCCTGCCCTTCCTGCCCTTCCTGCCCTTCCTTCCCTTCCTGCCCTTCCTGCCCTTCCTGCCCTTCCTGCCCTTCCTGCCCTTCCTGCCCTTCCTGCCCTTCCTGCCCTATCTGCCCTTTCTTCCCTTCCTGCCCTTCCTGCCCTTCCTGCCCCTCCTGCCCTTCCTGCCCTTCCTGCCCTTCCTGCCCTTCCTGCCCTTCCTGCCCTTCCTGCCCTTCCTGCCCTTCCTGCCCTTCCTGCCCTTCCTGCCCTTCCTGCCCTTCCTTCCCTTCCTGCCCTTCCTGCCCTTCCTGCCCTTCCTGCCCTTCCTGCCCATAGCGCATCTCCAACTCCATTCCCTCCTCCTTTTCCCCCATCCCCCATGCTCTTTCCTTGGCAGTGTCGTCGCTGTCAGCAGGTGCCATCGTGGGCATTGCTGTGGGGTGCTTTGCCGGGTTCATTCTGCTCACTGCTGTGCTCGCCTGGCTACTGTGGCCCCGTGGACAGATTAAGACCGCCAACAATGCTCCCATGTCATCCTTCCATTCTTGCACCTCTTTCCAGTCATCTTGCGCCACCCCCTCGCTGCCCCCCCTACCACCCCCCTTCCCCACCATGCTTGCACTACAGCTCACCCTCCCAACCACCTTCACCTCTGCACCCCTGCTCTGCCCACTTGCTCAAACCCCCCGTGAAACGTGCTTTGCTGCACGGCCTCCCACCAATTCACCCCATCTCACCGTGCTCTGGTGGGGCACAGGGAAGTGGGAGGGGCTGGACCTGTGCGAGCAGTTCTCACTGCACCAGCTGGTGAAGGCCACGGACAACTGGGCGCCTGAGAACATGCTGGGGAAGGGCGGCTTTGGCGCCGTGTACAGGGCGTACTCGCCGCAGGGGCAGCTGTGGGCACTGAAGCGCTCCACCGTCATGACCAACGAATTCGAGACGGAGGTCAGCCCTTGCATTGATGCTCCTACTCTGTTGCTCAACTCCAGCCGTTCAGCCACAGCACCATGGCAATGGGCTCATTTTGCTCTTTGAGATTCTGAGCTGCCTCTGTTATAGTGAAAGCATTATTAAACCCTGCAACTCGCATATTGCCTTATGGCTTCTCTGGCCACTGTGCTTTGCGCCACATGCAGGTGCGAGCCATGGCATCGCTGCACCATGTGAATCTGGTGCGCCTGCTGGGCTTCTGCCAGGATCAGAATGTGGAGACGGGCAAGCAGGAGCAGATCCTCGTGTACGAGTTCGTGGCCAACCGAGACCTGCACCACCACATCTACAAGACCAAGCGTCAGTAACTCTCGCGCCATGTCATTTAGTTGCCAGCCATATGTGCTTCAGCGGAGAATGTCAAAAGTTGCTGATGCACCAACACACATCGTGCCTGCCTCTTGAGTCTCTTTTCCAGGCCCTCTCTCGCTGCGCCAGAGGCTGCGCCTGGCGCAAGGAGCAGCGGAGGGCCTGGCTTACCTGCATGGGTTTGCGACGCCCATCATCCACCGCGACATCAAGCCTGCAAACATCCTCGTCTCATCCGACATGACTGCCAAGGTGGCTGATTTTGGGCTGCTCAAGCAGCTCACTCACGGCGACGCTGATGCCACCAGAGTGGAGGGAACGCCCGGCTATGTGGATCCTGATTACAACCGCACCAGCGTCATCACGGCCAAGAGCGATGTCTTCAGGTGCGCGTGAATCACACTCTAGCAACTCACACGGTACTGGAACACTGGTGTATTTAACGTGTCATAAACATAGTACTCGCAGGAAGGACGGTTCAAAAGTTGATGATGCACAAACAGGCTGTTCCTGGTCGTTGTTTTCTCCAGCCGTCTCCATGCCCCCCTGTGCTCCTGCTTGCAGCTTCGGCATTGTGCTTCTTGAGTTGCTGAGTGGAACGCCACCCAGCTCTCACCATGGAGCCCATATGAGGATCTGGGTATGCCCATGCTAAATTCAATCGTCGCACTTCCCCTCACACCACCTTTCCTTCATACCATGCTCCCTTGCATGTTTTGCACTGTACCATGCCGCCTTGCTCTTTTTCTTCTTGCTGCACTACCCCACGCTGTTTCTTATTTATTATGCTGCTGTGCACCGGCTGTTCTCTGTGGTGCAGGCGCAGCAGAGGGTGGATGCATATGAGCTGGACAAGCTTAAGGACAGCAACCTGCAGGCCAGTGACGAGGCTGTGGTGGACTTTGCTGACCTGGCGCTGGACTGCACGAAGGAGCCGGGCACACGGCGTCCCGACATGAAGGACGTGGCATACCGCCTCCGTGCCCTCATTGACAAGCACTGCCCTGACAAGGAGGAAGAGTGGGAGTGCAGTAGAGAAGAGAGTGCAAGCACCGGAAGTGAGTCGTGGTCTACCACGTCAAATTCTGGTGGGAGCTCTTTGCTGAGCTCGGGTTCCAGTGGTGGCAAGAGCTGGCTGTCACTGGGATTCTCTTGGGGTTACTGAGCCGTCACCTGTACATACATTTCACCCAGACGAGAACGGATTAAGGTCCCTCATTTCATTTTCCTTGGGATTCAACATGAAGCTAAGAGGCTATAAGGCATGCACAACTGGGTTTCATGACGACATTGTGAGAGTTCTCGCTACTGTGAGCGTCTCTGCCGGGGCCCTCTTCTGATGGGGAAAATACCGAAAAGTTCCAGCTAGAAGACCCGCCGCCGGTAAGAAGGTCCCCCGGGACTCTTGAATGGGTAGGGTGACTCTTATTGTGGGAGATATTGTGAGGACCCCCCCTTGACCTCTAATCATCATAAGACCCCTCTTTTATGTCTGGTGTAGTTGTTATTGCTATTGTGAGTCAGTTTTTCCTTGCAAATTTTCGAATTCTGACGTGCATTTTATGTCAGACTCGAATTCTGACACTTTGATTGTGTCAGACTCAAGTTCTGACAGAAATCTGACGCGCCGCTCGCCAGGCCCTCAGATTCACTTTGAGTGACGTAGATGGATCAGGGTCCCTCTGCGTGGAATCCCTGATTGACAGTGTCCCCTAGAAAAAAAGCCTGAAAAATTAGTGTCACTTAAAAAAAAACCCTGAGGCATCAGTGTTCCCTAACAAAAAAATCCACACGACTACCGTACCACACGACACACACGATTGACGACATGATTGACTAAACCACACGACTGACTGGCTGGTACACCAGGCATGAACGCGAGGAAACCCCCCACGAGTGGAAATCCTGGAGCAGAATATGGGAGCCTGGATGGCAGATCGCGGGAACTGCGGGATTCGCGGGAATCTGAGATTCCCTGTACTTCTGGGCAACGACACTCCGAACGTGTAGGAAACGCATTAAGTGTCAGTTTCGGTACAACATAGTGGAATCAGTGTCCTTGAAAAAAAAAACCTGAAAGTTCAGAGTCATCTGGCAGGAAAAGGCTGGAAAATCAGCCCCACAAAAAGCTGAACACTGGAAAATCAGGGTAGGTACAAAAAAATCCCTGGAAATCAGGAATTTCAGGAAAAAAATCCTGATATCGTAGGGCCTGCCGCTCGCGCGAAATTTGCACGCGAAGGCTGTTTTTCGTTACGAATATAAGACCCCCCTCCCCTCCCCAAATTGAACTGTACACCATAAATAACATATTGATATATGATAAATAAGTGTACCCCGGATCTTAAAAATTTGCAACCACCATGATGTCCACCCTAGCATTTTTTCAAGCAATTCTAGAGAGTCCCCCGGGTCTTCTAGCTGGAACTATACGGTACCTTGATTACCTTTGCTATGGGCTAGGTTTTAGTAGTTACCATGTTTTTTTAGTGCAAGGAATTGTCACCCTGGTGAAGAAAGTGTGCATTTTTGTTTCCTCCAACTGAATCTGAGATGCAGGATTTTTACCCTGGTGAACCAGGGTGGTAAGAAACGCCGTGAATCACTTTCCCTTCGACTTGGTTCGACTTCGCCGAAACCACGAAGGCGGCGAGGCAGATGCCGTCTTCACCTAAGTTGGCTACCCCACGGCTTCACCCTTTGTCAACCACTCAAGTCAAAGTTGGCCGCCGACTTTCCGTCGTCTGCGATGTCGCAGCGGCCCCATGCAATTCAACCAACTTCGTTGACCCACCCGCCTAGGCGGGTGTTGGCGACTGCAAAAAGTTGGCTGCACCTCCCTTATACCCGACCATGACGTCGGTTTCGCCCAAGTAAGGGCAAGGCCAACTCCCATTGACACCCCCCTGCCGCGCTCACGCTTCGGCACCCACCCACCCGATAGGTCCATTCCAAATCCAAGTGGTATAGTACATGTGGAAACTCCATCGTTGGCGTGCACACAACACACAACATGCCAATCACCGCACTATCCGCGCAAAAGGGCACGGCGCCTGCCTGCACATCGTCGTCACCATCGCTAATGTCGGCCGGAAGCACTTGGCCGATTGCGACGGAGTACTGGTTGAAGTAGGGATGAGCAGAGGCCGAACTCGAACAGGTTCGGGTTCGTCCTCTGTCGAACAGCTCGAACAGCCGAACCGAACACTGTTCGGTTCGGCGAACGATTTAGGGCTACACAGGTGTTTGATGTTCGCCCTTAGGGGCGAACAATTTGTACGTGCAGGCGAACTCGAACATGTTCGAGTCGAACATGTTCGCGTTCGTGTTTAAGCAGATTCGATATAGTCACACCTGTCAGAAAGGGTACCTTAAGGTCCAGAAAGATAAGAAATGGGGTTTGCATGGAGGGAAATTGTTCCTGCAACCCACCTAAGGCTACAAACACCATCCTGTTGTGTAACAGAAATGCAACAATGTAATAAATTCCTACGCTAATGCGCCACCACTGCTACTATCAACAGCAGGCTCCACCCCGCCACCTGTGTCATCAGCAGCCCCCACACCCCCCCTCCTCCTCCTCCTCCTCCTCCTCCTCATCCTCCTCCTCCTCATCATCTTCCTCCACCCCCTCGCCCTCAATGGCGAACTGTGGCGGTGCGACGCCTCTCTGTCGGCGGCCCTCGCCTATCCTCTGGCCGGGGTGTGAGGTGTACCAGGATCGGAGAACCATGACAGCTCGCGTTCTCTGGGAGGCCAGGCGGTGCCGCTTCCAGGAAATGACGTTGCGGCCAAGGGAGAACACACGCTCGCTCGATGCAGACGTGGCAGGGATCGCGAGATAATCCCGGGCCATGCGCCTCAGCGTCTGCATGTTGGTGGCGGTGCGCCAGTACTCCAACGCCGTCACGTCATCCCGAACCCGCTCCGACAGGTACCTGCTAACCTCGTCATCCTGTAGCATCCCGCCCCTCCCCGCATGCTGGCTCGCTGAGAGATGCGCTGCAAGTCGACGGCGACTAGGGATATACTGCGCATCCTCGTCGTCATCCGCCGCGTCACCCTCCTCCTCCTCCGTCACGGTGGCAAGTGGGGGCGACCGGGGGGCTAGCGCTGCAGCCCGGGCCTGGTACTCGGCCACGCGGTCGCGTACCAGCTGGACCACCTCGCTAGACGTGGGACGCGGCCTCACCCTCGGCTCGGTCTCAGGATGCTGTGACTCCCAGTGCGCGTCATCGAACCACGCCGCCTTCATGGACGGGTCCAAGAAGGTGGCGATCCACAGCTCGTTGGAGCCATCTGGCACACCCTTGTAGCCCCCTCGAGGAAACGTCTCGCCTGGCAACTGAATGGACGGGGTGTGGTAACGGTGATGCCAAACAAGCATGTGCGCTGTATGGTGGCTCGCGAAGTGCCGCTCGCCGGGTGGTTGTGGATTGCTTCCACGAGACCTTGTCAGTGCAAATCTTGCACTGACGCTCCTCGTCTGCGTCTTTCGGTCCGAACATCATTACTTGCCACCCCGGTTTCCTGCTACCCGTCCCCTTGCTACTTTCTGACCCTCCGTCCTCGTCTAGGAACTCCGGTGCGATCACACCCTCGCCCAACGGCTCCCCTGTGAACGTGGCGGGGTACGCCCGCTCCCTCAACTTGTTCACCCTCTTCCCACGCCTTGGCGGCCTAATGGTCGCGGCCTTTTTTCCCACAGCAACCCCCACGCTGCCACCCCCTTCACGCACATGGTGTGAGCCCGCCTCAGTCGCCGCCTCTCCACCACCCTCTCCCACCTCCTCCTCCCGCCCCTCTGGCTCCAACCCATCCATCTCGTGGTCTTCATCATCATCCCCCCCCTCCCCACCGCCATGCGTCTCTGGGTCCCACCCGCTCCCCTCATCGTCCTCATCCGACTCGCTCTCCTCCTCCTCCTCCTCATCCTCCTCCCCACTGCCACACTCCGGCCGCTTTTCCTTTTTAGGAGGGGGTCGATGGCCGTCGTAACGGAATGAATGACGTGATGTCGGCGCCGCTAAGGAAAGAAACCCTCCCACAAAGCAAGCGCCGGCTCCTCCAGGTCCATCCCCTACCCGCCCCTCCATAGGTCGTGGTGGAGAACCTGGTCCGCCGCTCCGAGCGCCGCCTGGACCTCGTTCTACAGAACCACCTCGGCCGGAAGCCATAGGACCGTCCTCGGCACAAAAACCCTAAAACCCGAGGTGAGGCAACGGGCGCGTTCGTTGGGTAGCAGCACGGCTCAAAACGTCTTGAACTTCGCGTGGGTGACTTTAAAGACTGATTCGAACCGTACGGCCTAGACCACGTGTTGCTTGAAGAACATGCTTCACGAACTACCTGAAAATTACACTACATACACTCCTCCACTGAAACCCTAGATATGATCTCTGGGAGGATTAGTTGTGAATGTGACGGTGAGCTAAGGCTTCTAACTACAAGAAGAATGCTAGGGTGGGGTGGGGGTGTGAGATAGGGCTGGCTGGCTATGCTGAAAAACGTGATCTGAGTTTGGGCTATCGAAATGAGCCCAAACTCAAATCGGCCGCGACCTAAAATTGGTCGCGGCCAAATTTGACGCGAACAAATTGGTGTTCGCGTAGCCCCCGAGCCGAACACGAATCGTGTTCGACCTGGGGGCCTCTGTTGACTGAGGCGAACGTCGAACATGTTCGGCCGAACACCGAACATGTTCGCCCCAAACTATTTAGCAAAAACATCAAGGCGAACCGAACAGGCGTTCGGAATTTTGCTCAACCCAGCCGGGCTGCGTATTCTGTCCGAACCCCTTCCAAAAAGCATATGAAACGTTAGGCGTTTATACGCTACCAGATAAACACTTAGCATATGAAACGCAAAACGTATATACTCCAACTTAGCATCCGTCCACCCATGGTCCACTGCCCCGAGGTCAAGCTCTACCTTTCTGCGATCTCGGACTGCCCTCCCTCTGCCACAGACAGCCCACAAGCCGTCACCGACAGCCTGTGGACAGCCGTGCCCCAGCCCTCTCCACCCGCGTCCCCTGCCCAACCGAGTCCTACTCGTCTGCTCACCCCGTTGACTCACCCTGCTCGTTTGCTTTGTTAGTGTTAGCCATCAATCTCACACTTTGTACTTTATATATTTATCTCATAGAGTAGTGTAGTTTGCACT